TAAAATGTGTGGATCAGAGTGGCACTACTCAACCAGTCAAGGTTGTTAAAAACAAGTGTTACATGCATTTGTCTTGGACAGCTTTCAAAATTTTTTTTAGAATGTATTTGTGTAATGGCTGTATTTTTATATGATCTTGCAAGAGCTAAAGTAGAACCTTGGCTATGAAATGAGGGCATTCACTCGGGCAGTAAATCCTGCCAAAAACGCATGATGATGCAACAGAGCATAGCCTCGGTCGCTTTCCTCCTGTCCCTTTTCCTAAGGCTTCAGATTTTTTGAAATTTTTTGTGTACCAACTCTTGATCTCTTATGGATTTTTTCCCAGTTCATCTCTAGTTGTCTCTTAATATGGCATAAATGAGGATTTCTGAATCCCCAAACCATGCATTTGTTATCCAAGAGTCATGATTCCTTCGTTTCACCAATTCAATGAAGCAGTTTTTAAAATCTGTCGGACCATCCCCCCCCCGCCACGTAAACCTTCCCAAACTCCATCTCACATATACAATAAAGTATGATAGTATGCAGTTTGACCATGAGATGCCCGGGTTAGGATGCCAGCTCTGACTTTTATAATACCATTGAACCATTACCTAGCCCCTTCATGTTTTTGCTTGTTTGTGTGGTAGGTAACACTGTCTTATTTGATGTCATAGAGATTAAATGAGCTAATAAGGATCCAAAGTTCCAGCACATGACATGTTCTTAGCAAATGTTAACTATTATAATTACATATTTTTTCTGTTTCATTTCAAAATTGGAAACTTAGTTGGGAAAAAAAGCACTACACACTGTAAGGTCTGTTTCACTGATGTAAGTGCAGAAGTCTAAATGAAGGCATGCCAGATAATTGGTTGATTCTGTCAATAATTATGTATTTGGCAGCTTATCATCTTGATTAAAAGTAGACAGCTCGGGGACATTATGTTCTGTGAGTCATGCAAAGAAACACAAATCTGGACTCCTGTCCACAGGAGCTTCCACTTTCGTGGGAAAGACTTCACTCAAGCTGTGAAGGAATAATGCAGGAGCTAAGACAGCCATCATGAGAAGGTGACATGCACAGTGCATGTGCTCAGAGGACTCTAGCGAAAACAGAGGCAGTATTTGTCACATAGAAGATTTACCTCAAAACACTGAAGGAGTGGGCAGTGAGTCCATCTCCTCATGTCTATCTTGACAAAGATGGGAAGGCTTCCATCCAGCCGACTCCCAGGCCTCTCCCTTTTCTAGGAGACTTCTATGGGCTCAAAGATCACTAAAAATATTGGACCTGCCCTTGGGCATACTAACTTATAAAAGAATTGAACTAGCAAATGAATGCACCCCCTCCACAGCCCACTCTGTGACCACATGCAAGATTCTTCTTCCTCTGTCTACACCCTCTTGCTCCTCTCCATCAATATATAACTGGTTCCTCCACAGCTACCTGTAAGAGTCTCCATAGGAAGGTAAGAGTGAAACAATATAGTTTAATTCCCACATATACGCATGCATTTTTTTCAGTCTCAATGTGTGTATATCGTGTGTTTTAGTTTTTATTTCAGTTGAGATTTTTTCTATTTTATTGATTGCCTAAAATTAGGAGCACTAGGTCCCAGGAAAAAGAGATGTTTTATGTTTCTGATATGCATGATTAAATGAGATTTGATGCTAGAGACTTGAAACAAAGGATGCATGGAAAGGGAATATGGAAATACACTGGTAGTTTTACTTGCTTTGACATTATAAGTATTTTGATTGGATTTTAAGCTTACACATAGAAAATTCACCTTTTATTATGTAGTTTCTGCGTATTTTAACACATTCTGAAAGATTTGTGTAACCAGTACCTTAGAGAACACACTAAACAGTGCTATTACCCGGAAAAGATAAAATAAAATAATAAAATAAAATTTATTTTTGTTGCCCTTTGGTTGTCAATTCCACTCCTATGGCAAACCCTGGTAGTCACCATGTCTGCATACTGACAGATTTTCCCTTTCCAGAATGTCACATAAAGAAAAGCATGCAGGATGTAACCTTTTGAGAACCCTGGCTTCCCTCACTTAGCATCATGCATTCAAGATTTATCTACGTTTTGCACCTATTAATAACACATTCCATTTTCCTGTTAAGTGGTGTGCCTTAGTACAGACGCACAGCAGTTTGCATTGTGTCCAGTTTAAGATAATAATAAATGGTGATGCTACAAGCCTTCATGCACAGATTTTTACATGAAGTCACAGTTTCATTTCCCTGGAGTAATACCCAAGAGACAGGAAGAGGGCTGGCTTATAAGTCTAGGTTTGACTTTATATGAAATTGCCAGACTGCTGTCTGGAATAACAGCACAGTTTTCTGTTTCTGCCGATGCTGTGTGACAGTTCCAGTTGTTCTTTATTCCTGCCAGCATGTGACACTCTCATAAGTGCACAGGTTAGCCCTTTGTATAGACATACCATAGATTGTTTCTGCTGTTTTACAAGTTGTGAAAATTTCTTACCAATCCTAGTAACAAAATCTCTGCATCCTCCTTTTCTCATCTTTGGAAAAACTTGTATAGAGCCGTGTTATTCTTCCTTAAGTGTGTGATAGACATCATTCACCTTGGCCTGGGGTTTTTGTCTTTAGAGGGTTTTAGCTGTGAGTTCAGTGTCTTTCGTGCATATAGGACTACTAAAGATAATCTACTTCTTCTTGAGAGATTTTTGTTAATTTCTCTTTTTCAATTTGGTCCATTTCATCTAAGTAGTCCATGAAAATGGAGAATTGGTTGTGGTGTTCTTTTATCATTTTTTTATTTCTATGGAGTTTGTTATGATTGCCTTCACACCTTATATTGGTCAGATAGCTTCTCTTTTTTCTTTATCTTGATACATTCTGGTTTTCCAATTTTAGTGGCCTTTGACAAAGACTAGCTTCCACCTTCATTAATTTTTTTCTGTTTTATCTTCTTTTCATTTTCATACATTTCCATCTCATATTTATTATTGTATTCTTTCTGCTTACCTCAAGCTTTTGAAGCTGTTCTATGTCCTACTTTCTTAAGATGAAACCTTAAATTGTTGGTTTGGGATGTTTAGTCTTTTCTGCTTTTTTTTTTACCCTTAGGAGTTATTTTCATTTATTTGAAAGAGACAAAATTATAAAGTGAGAAAGGGATAAAGAAATCTTGTATCAACTGTTTCACTCCCGAAATGACCACAACACCCATGGCTAAATGAGACCAAAGCCAGAAGCCACTCAGAGTAGCAGGGACTCAAGCACTCTTACATTCCTCTGCTGCTTTCCCAGGCACCTTAGCAGGAAGCTGGATGAAAGTGGAGCAACTGGGACTCAAACCAGTGCTCACATGGGTGCTCACATCACAAGTAGTAGTTTATCCCACTGTGCCACAGCACCAGCCCCATATGCTTTTTCTTACCATCCTTGAGACTTCCTTGTTGATCAGCGAGTATCTTAAAGGATGGTGTTTAATTTCCAAATATATTTAGTTTTCTAGATAGCTTTTAGTGATTGAACTAATAGATTAAATTATGCCAAAGAAGAGCGCTTCATATGATTTTGTTCTTTTAAATTTTATAAGATTTCTTCTGTGACACAGAATGTGGTCTCTTTTTCTGAAAAAAGGTTCCGTGCATACTTTAAAAATCACATATTACACTGTTGTCTGGTTGGTATATTCCATAAAATTTAATTGGATAAATTTGAATAATAGCATTGCTTAATTTTTTTCTCACATTTTGGTCTCCTTGAGCTCCTAGTTACTGAGAGAAGTCCATAACTGCAAATGTGCATCCTTCTTTTTCCTTTAAGTTTCGTGAAGTTTTGTTTCACTTACTGAGGCTGTGCTGTTATACTTTCAAGCTTGTTGCATCTTCTTGGGGCATTGATTCTTTCATTTTTAATTTTTTCAAATTTATTTATTTTTATTTGAAAGGCAGATTTTAAAATGAGAGAAGGAAAGACAGAGATCTTTCTGCTGGTTCACTCCACAAATGGCTGCAACTGGCAGAACAGATGTGATCAGAAGCCAGAAGCTTAGAGTCTCTTCCCAATGGGTTCAGAGGTCCAGGTCCTTGAGTCATGCTCTGCTGCTTTCCCAGGACACAAGCAAAGAGCCGGATTGGAAATGGAGCAACTCGGACAAGAACTGGTACTGATAAAGGATGCTTGTGCTATAGGTAGAGGATTGCCTTGCTACCCCACAGTGCAGGCCCCAGATGTACTTATAGTTAATATTTTATCTCTTCAAAGAAAGTATATAAACCTTACAATTCTTGCTGCTTATGTTTCAGTTGTCATTTTTAATAAAAAATATTGAAAATTCTATCATGCATGCCATATGTTTTCTTTTCCACAGCCATATAAAAACACCAGTGTTGCACAAATGTGCATGTCATCCTCTTATTAAGCCCATGCTAATCATCACTTTATGGATTTAGTTTACTATGTGCTGCCAAAGAAAGCAGCACAAATGCTTTTTAATTGCTTTCCTGGAAAAAGATATATCTAAATCTTGCACCATTTTTATGACTAAGGGCTGAAATTAGAAGTGCAGTGTCTCTCTGAATGAAGCTCAAATTGATTCTAACTAACTGTACTGGAATATTAAAGAGTGTAAAAATGAGCTTCTACCTTAGCACAACAGAAAGTAAAATCTAGAACTGTGCAGAGAAAGAGTTGATAGCTAAAGCTAACCCTTAGAGGATTTTTGTTTTTGCTTTTTTAGTAACTTGGAAGTTTACAATATCAACATTACAGATGTGTAATTGCAACAGGAATGTCCAAAGGGGAGGCATTTTCTAGAAATTGCGATTAAAAGGAAACTATTCCATATTACATAAACAGTAGGCATTTGGAGAAGAGACAATGAAAACTAATCCTGCAAGATTTGGGATGAAGCAAAAAGAGTTTATAGTGCACATTGTTTAGATATTGCCAAGAAAATGATCATTTTAAATAAACCCCTCAGAGGCATTTCATGCGCATAATTTTATTTGGCCACATTGCTACTAAAATATTGTGCACATGCCAGTGCAAGGGAAGGATGAGTCTATGATACATCACGCAGTGAAAGCTCCTGCTCCGTCTGCAACCTTGATCCTTCCCTAGAGTACACAGTCATCAGCTCAGAAAGTGCCTCCGCTTTGAAGGTGACTGTTTATCCAAAGGCTTGGTGATGTAAGCCTGAAACCAAGGGGGAGCAGGGCAATTAAGCCTCATTTTGATTAAGCTGTTGTGTACTAAGAGGGTTGCAAGTTGGGCTTGGTGGCTTTTCTCTGGGGTGAGAAGCAGACATTTAGAATGTGTAGACAAGTAGCTTGCCATAAAGGGTGGTCAAAGTATTTTGGCCTCTTTGCTGTCTGTCCAGCCTATGACTGTTCAGGAAAGTTCCACTCATGTGCCTTTAGATTTGTGAAGCCTTTCTTTCACTCTACATCAATCGTGGTTTAGATAGTCTCTTTCTGCCAGCTAGAACTCACATTGGCCAGTTCGTGAGGCTGCCCTCATTTTGCCTTCTTGTGGAGACACGTGAAACAGGACTATATGTTTGGGTCTCCAAGGTGACTCAGACACATGTGCATTAAGTTTAAGTAGTTAGCAGGGGGTCGGGGTGGGTTGACAGCACAGAATCTGTCTCTGCATTCAAACCCTGACCTCACCAAGTCCTAGCAGGATGACCAGGGCAAGCTGCTGAAATCCTCCCTGTCTGCTTCCCCACTTGTGAAACTGGAATTATAACACTATTGGCAAAGATTAAATAAGTTAAGATACATGAAATGTTGAGGAATTTTGCTAGCACATAATAAATACTATCATTTTCTTTTGAAGTAATTCCTTTTCTTCCACTTAGAAAGGTGTGAATATATATATATATCAGTAAGTTAGGAAAACCAATGCAACTCAGGAAAACGCAAGGCAAAGATGAGAAGTTGACCAAAATTCAGGTGAAGAAGACTTAGTAAGTATTTTAATTATTAATTAATTAATTAATTAATTATGGAATGAGAATGTATAATGGTATAACCTCTTTGCAAAACTAGCTGCAGTGTTTACTAAGTTATGCCATCGCATAGTCTGTGATTCAGCAGTTCCACTTTCATGGATATCTCCAAGAAAAATATCTCCACGGTTCCAACTAAAGAGAGACCTAGCTGAACTACCCATGGTTACCAATCACTGGAAACTTGGAAAATACCCATCAGGAGCACAGATACATGCCCTGTGGCAATGAGAATCGGGGGGTCGCAGCCATGCACTGCAGAATGCATGAACCTCACAAATATGATTTTGAGCACAAGAAGCTCCAGGCAAATACCAGCTCCAGGCAAACCTACCGCATGCTATCACAAGTCTGGAACTGGTCACCCTGGTGGAGGAGAGGCAATCAGGCAGCAGAAAAGGAGGAGAAACTTGTGTTGGTGTAGTGGTGGCTCCAGAGGTGGGCTCACACTGTCATCATTCATGGAACTCTACCACTGTGACACATGCTTTTTTTTTAATGTGCATTATACTTCTCCTAAAAAATGAGGGGGGAAAAACAGAAATGAAATAAGAATGGAAATAAACGAAGTGAACAAAGCAAAAGCTTAAAAAAAAAAAAAAAGGAAAAGGTGGGAGGGTGACCTACAGGTTGAAAAGCAAAATCTTCAACTTCCCTGCCAAACCTTCCAGGCAGTGTGTTGCCCCACTTGTCTGTCCCTGTCTGTGCCCTACTATTTGGTTAGCTGGAGGGTGGTACCGGCCCTGTGTCTCCTAGAGGCCCTTCCTTCTGATGGCTCTCCATCCCCCACCAGAACACCGAACCTCTCCAAGTGGGACCCCTAAAGGAGTAACTCCGAAGAACTTAGATTTCACTAAACATCAGTATTAAAATCCTTCTCTCCTTCCTCCCTTTCCCTCCTCCTTCTCTCCTCTCCTCCCCCACTTCTCTCTATTCCCCTCTCCCCTCCCCAATCCTCTCTCCTCCCTCTCCCCTCCCCAGTCCTCTCTCCTCTCTTCTCACCTCTTCCCTTCTCTCCCCTCCCCTCCCTTCTCTCCACTCCAGTGTCACCCAAGACGCCATCCTGGGCGTGGTGGCGCTGCCCTGGCCAGCTCTGTCCACGCCTCTCACTCTGCCGGGTCGCGAGGCGTGGGCCGGGGCCTGACCGAGGCCAAAGCAAGCGGGGTGTCCCCACGCAGTCCCCGCCCGGACTGACCCCGCCCCGCGGCCACGGGCTATTTTGGGCGCGTTGGCGGCAGCGGGATCGCTGACAGTGGCGGATCCTGTGACACCTCCCGGCAGCCCAGCTCGGCACTTGTTGCTCCTGGGACCTGTTGTCATTTCTTAAGCTCCTTCCCCTCATCTTACCCCCTGCCTCTCCTGTTCCTGAGAGCACCTGGGACAACGCTGCCTCAGTTTGAGAAATAGATGGTTTAGAAAAAAAATAGATCTATATATATTTTTTTAAGCACCAGCCTTGCAGGGGAGCCGCACCAGCGGGCAGGAGCTCATAGTGCTGGCCCCCGCGCCGCAGAGGTGGCGCCTCCCCGGCCCGGGACGGTGGCCCCGGGCGCCCACGGCACCATGAACTCGGCGACGGCTAACGGGGACGACAGGGACCCGGAGATTGAGCTCTTTGTGAAGGTAGGTCGAGTGCCCGGGCGCCGCTGCACCTGCAGCTACGGCTGGACTCACGTGCCCGGCGCAGATCGCACTGGAGACGCGGAACCCTCCCCGGGGAGGACCGCCCAGGGCCCTGCCGCTCGCAGTGGGGAGTGGGGAAGGCTTTCTGGGGACCAGTGCGTCGTTTCGGGGTTCCTGGACAGCCTGGAGTGGCGTACACTCTGACAGGTGGTGGACTGCTGGGAGAGTTGGTCCCACGAGTTGTCAAACCTGTAAGCGGGACTTGGGATCGTCGCTGGGGTCAAGAGCGCTGCGCGCGTGAGACTTTGCTGGTGTCGTAGGACTTCTAGGGGTGCAGGAAACGGCAGGAGCTGGGTGGGATCGGTGAATGGAGTCAGAGGGAAGGGAACATTGGTCTAATTGTCTTTGACGAGAAAGAAAAGAAAAAGAAACTTGACGTTTCTTGAAATCCTCTTCCCTCTTTGACTCAGAGTTACCTAAATAAACACAGCCACAGGGGTTTTCTAGCTTTGCGGCAGGCAGAGTCAAAAACAGAAAAGCCAGAAAACAAACAAAGCAGAAAGCCAGAAAACAAACGATCCATGCCCCGACGTTGTAATTTGGTCGTCATGACGCCTGTGCAGGTAATTCCAGAAAATGCGAAGCGTTGAGAAAGAAACTCTCCCCAGTCAGTCTGGCACCGCCTGGGATGAAGGACAAAAGTGCACCTTAAGGGGCCTTGCTCCTTGGGCTGACATAGCCCGACATCCAAGCTGCAGGGAGCACCTCTTTTGCTACCTGCAGGGGAAAGAACTCGGAGGCAGAGGCGGAGTTCCCCGTGCACGCCTGTGTAATGAGAAACATTTGATCAGCGCTCGGCAAACGGCACAAGCAGGGAAACCTGAGGCCTCTAGGGACCTGCCTCTGTGGCAGCAAGAAAGATCGTGAGGACCTGGGGGAGGGGAGGCTGCAGGCTGTGTGAGAGCCAAGGCTTTTCACTGAGTGGGTGGAGTGGGGAGGACACGAAACCCTTCAAATGTAGTTTCCCTGTAAATATGGAGGAAGTGGAGAAGAAAGGTATTCTTAGTGCCTGCCAGGAATCCTCTTGTTGAAGGCAAAAGTCCTTGTGTGGACAGGGAAAGAGGTTATTTTGCCCAAATGATCCCTATCTCGTGTTAATTAATGAAGACTTTAAAAAAAAAAGTCTAGCATCTTCATGAAATTCTCTTTTGGTCCTCTGTATCTTCTGAAAATACAAATAAGATCGTTTTACTTTATCCCTGGTACCGGTTTTACCTCCTCTCTCCCAGCCTATCACAAAGGTTTGCCGATTCTGCAGAGTTTTGGAGTCTTCACGTGTGTAGTTCAGCATTACACCTGCCATTCAGTAATGCTGCTGTGTTCAGCCTGAATGCGTGCCCTTTAGCTCTCTGAGACCCCTCCCTCCCATAAACTTCCTGTGTTCCCTGGCAGACCCAGGGCAAGCCTAGACAGTGTGGGGCCATGTAGGGATGCTCTGACCCTCCATGTCCAGGCTTGCCTTGCTGGAGAGTGAAAAGAAAGTGAATAGGGAGAACTTTAACAAAGCGATGAGTCTTGCTGCTGTCCTTGAAGAAAGCTATTCTAGGGCTTACTCAGATTCCCCAGTAGTGCTTTCAAGGTGTCAGGTTCCCAAGGGATGCTTGAAACACAAATTGTTTTTCAGAAGCGAAGGAGCCCTTTGCTCCATTACTAGGTATGGAGACCCATTCTACCTGTACCTTTGACATTTCAGGTTGGCAGCTTTGGCGACTTCTCTTCGTTTTTAGCCAAAGCTCACTGCACAGTTTTCCCGTGCCCCAAAGAATTCGAAAATCCCTTTGTGGTCATCTGTTCTAGAAAGAAAAGAATTCATGAGATCAAGGCAGGCCTTTGTGGCCAGCAAAAATCAGACTGATGGAAGGGTGGGGCGGAGGAGAGGGGCCAGAAAAAGCAGACAAGAAAGCAGTTTAGATTCCCCACCCCACACATCTTGAGCTACTAGTTCATTGTTATTTACAGGGACAATCAAAGACTTGAAAATACTGTGAAAGACACTGCCCTGACTTTGAACTGTGTGCTTTTAGGGAAGCAATGTCCTGATTTATAGAATCAGATTTCCAGTGTTGGAGGGTTCTCGAAGCTATAGGATTCCCATAAGAAGAAAAGCCTTCTGTTCACGGTGTCAGGTAGCTCAGGCGCTAGCTACGAGGCTAGGCTTGGTTTCCATGCCACTGTCCAGGCAATGCAGGCACTGCCCAGAGTCATGATGTTGGCCATTTTCAACACTCCTTTGAAAGAATCACCCAACCCTGCCTGTCCACGGGCTCTGCCATTCAGGCTCTGCCATTCTACACTTTGATCACCTAGAATTCCAAGGGCGTGAGATTCTTTCCCAAGGATTAATAATAGACTTTGTCTGTTATCATTGCTACTGGTAATAGTCATCTTTGTCACTAATGGCAGTGTGATAGGACTTTGGAAGCACATTCAAATGCCTTATCCCTCTCAGTCCTCAGTGCTCTTGCTTACAGGGATTGGTTCAGTGATGAAAACAAACAAACAACAACAGTCAAAACAGAAATTCACAGGGACCTTTCGAGTCTATGCTGTCAGTACACTTGGTGAGCTGCTTTCCTCGGAACAGCCCGGAGAAACAAGGATGCTGATGTATCCCACTTTGTGGCTGGGCAACAACACCTGTGTTCAGAGAGGGCATATGAAGTGCTCAGAGCCAGGCAGCATATAACATTCAGAGCCAGTAGTGTAGGCCCTGAATTGCATGCTCTTTTCCAGGCTCCCATTAATCAGATTTCATAATTAATTTGGCCTAGCAAGGCCCTCCTGTGCCATGCAGCGTGATGAATACTTATAATTTATTGGTCCTTTCTCATGTGCTCATCCCTGCTAAGCCCCCCAAGTCCTCCCCTTCCAGAGAACATTCAAGAGGTTGTCTCCCCATGTGTTCTTCATTTGTTCTAAGAACGTTCAATCAGATCTGCTCTGATTCTGATGTTTCATAGCATGTGTAGGTGGGGCAGAGGTTTGGAACACAGGGTGGAGTTCAAGTTGTGTTGCCACCTCAAAAGAGCTAAAAGAACTTCATGAACTATTTCACTTCTTTGTTCCTCAACAGCTCCTCTTCAAACAAGAGTTTTGTCCAAGCCAGGATGTTCATGAGAGCAAAAGAGGATGCTACCAACACTTGCTCTGGCCTAACAAGTGTAACCTAGGCTTATGAGCCGATCTTCAAAAAGTTAATGGAAAATGTGCATTATGGAAAACAAAAAACTATGAACGGACTTTAAAAAGCTTTCACTAAAACATGCTTTTAGGTTCATTTTCTGTGAACTTTTGGAAATACTCCCATGTCTGGAGCAAATAGGAACATGTATTCACTGTGGCTATGAAAGCACTGTCACCAGACTTGTGATGAGGCCACTACAAGCCACAGGTGAAAACCCTTTGCAAAGTGAAAATGGCTATAAACACATTGGCTTTGATGATGAACCTTGCAGGATCCACTTGTCCCTGATTTGCCTTAGAGAACAAAAGCCTGACTCTTTCCTCACAGGTGGAGCTATTTTGAGAATATGTGAGCTCATCTGTAGCTTAGACTTTGATCACAAATGGAGGACAAAAGTTGATAGAACAGCCAATGGCAGTGAGTATGGTTTATTGAAAGAAAGAAAGAGCAAAGAAGTCAAAGCAAAGCAGAAAGTACTGTGGAAAGACAAACTCAGGCTGTGCTGAGTACGTTCAAGCGAGGCGTTACTCCCACTTGGGTTGCCTCTTGCACCCCAGTCCTGCCTCTACTCCCCAAGATAGAAAGCCACGAGAATGAAGTGACTGTGACCAGCAGATGTGCTACAAATATCTCCCTAGGGATGGGCACTTGGGTTTCAAAAGAAACTAGTAGTTCTCAGACATGGCTCCATACCATAATCCTTTAGTGTGGCATTAAAACTCCCAACCTCAGGATTCTCCCCAGGCCAGTAATATCAGCCTCTCCTGTGTAGGATCCATAATCAGTACTTTCATCCCCGTGTCTCCCACTGCCATGGAACTCCAACATGTAGTCTGGTAGAGAACCACCAAGTCATAATAAGAGATGTGTCCAGCAGCAGGCAGCCTCTGCCACCACTGAACTGGGTGGCCTTGCCACTGTGGGTTAATGCCTAGAGTTTCTAGGGACATCATGGTCAGGAGCGTTGTTGATAGAGAGGATGGAGCCCATTAATGCTCAGTTAACAAATGCTGACAGACTAGTCAGCCCTATCCACAGAACTCCAGAACAATCAGCGCCCGGGGTTAACCTAACAATCATCAGTTCAGTGTAGGAGAAATAAAGCAGAGTCCCTGCTGACTGTCTGATGGAAAGGACTCGTCATTTCATT